CCATTTTGGTCACTGGAGATCGACACGACTGACCGATACTGACCCAGCCCGAACCTGTTTTTAATTACAACTATGCCATTACTCTAGGGTTTTCCTTTCTAGGCTATAAATAGCCTCTTTTCCAGATTTTCGATAAGTCATGTCAAAATACTGTTCTTGAGCATTTCTTTTAAGTTTGTAAGACAATTTCTTTTCTTTGTTTAATATAATCAAGTATATGCTTTAATCTTTCTTTAATCTTTCTTCTAATCATGATTAGCATCCTTTCCCTTTGTGATTTGGTGTTAAACATGATTATGAGTGAGTAGTTATCTTAGGGTTTCTAGATGTGGTAGATTAGGGGAATCTAAGGCTTGATTAGAGCTTGTTATGTTCTTCATTTTGTGGGTTCCTCTCTATTAATCTGTTATTCATGCTAGATTAGTCTTGATCAAACTTGTCTAAGTTGTTAGCTTTCTCTTATGCCCACCAAGTGTTTAATGAAATACTGATCATGTTTAATAGAGGATTTGCTGGCCTTGGCTCATGAGATTGACTGTTTGAGGAGCATTTTAACTTGAATAGAGTTGTTTAATCATGCTTGCTTGATATTTTAGCTTTAATGAGAGTTAGTTCTTGTTAGAATGTTTAGCAAAGGGTTATTTGCCAAGAGATTGGATCTAACTAGCTTAAGTGTGAACTCTATGTCTAGGAATCACCATTGCTTGCTTACTTGCTTGATCGATGTAGTTTGAAACAGCCTTAGTTGATGCTTGAAATTCCCCAAAGTCAATAACCACATCTAGAGACTTGCCTTTCTCTTACTTGAATTTCGGATTTGCCCTGTTTTGCTCTGTTTTACTCTGTTTTCCTTGCTTAGAATTGCTTAGTTTGCTTCTGCTTTTATTTTGGTTGCTGCTTGCTTCCCTTAGGTTGCTAGAACTGTTGCTTAGGCAACAAAACCAATTCTCTGCTTGCTTGACTTAGAGATTTTATTCTCAACTCTTCTGTTTTCAACTCTTCCCAATGGATTGACATAAAACTCTTACTACAACTGACTAACAAAAGGGTGACTGAGCATAAGAGAGTCAAAAACTCTTGTGTCAGTTGTATTCATTAGCGAACTGTTGTGCTTTGTTTAAATTAACCCCAAATCTTGTTTAACCCAAATCTTGTTTAAGTGCTTTATTCAAGTTTAATGGAATGAAATGAGTTGTTTTTGAATCCGCTGTGTATTGTTAAATGGAAGTAAAAGTTTAAAAATTTGGCTAAGTATAGAACCGAACTGTTAGGATGTAGTGAAAGCAAGGGTGCGGTAGTTAGCCGGGTCGGGCTTCCACAAGTTGGTATCAGAGGGTTTAACGCTTCTAGAACTGTTTGCTGGTGACTGCTGTTGATGTTTGTGTGGGGTTAAGGGGTTCGATCCATTCTTCACTGCCAGGTCTCGCGGTAAGGTTTTGTGTGTTGTGTTTGTGAAACATGTATTGAGTTAGATTCGGCTAACTAGCATGATTGTACTTGCAGATGGTTGATACCACGAGAACCGTAAGAAATCATGAGCACCAACATGCTGCTGGGTCTATGAACTCAGTAAACGGTGATGTTTCTGAGAGGGCAAGGGAAGCCGAGAGACAGGCAGCTGCGGTTGCAAATGAGGCGGCTAGAGTGGCAGCCGAGGTTGAAGCACGGAATGCTGCGGATGCTGTGAACGTTGCAGCTGGGATTGCTGCGAATGTAGCACCGGTGGGGTTTGAGGGTGTGCTTGGGATGCTGGCACAGGTAATGGCCAGACTACCTGCTGTGGCTCCTGCTCCGGCGGTTGCAGCAGCACCACAAGTGGTACCACCAGTTGGTGTTAATCGGGATGTGCTTGGTGAGGAATCGGACCAGGTGGAGAGGGTTCCGAGCTACCTCAAGGTTTTGGATCACATGGTGCGGTTGAGAACCAAGTTCTTTGCTGGAGGTTCTACACCGATTAAGACAGATGAGTGGAGGATGTGACTGGAAAGGAACTTTGAGTCTATCCGCTGTCCAGAGGGTTATAAGAGGGACATAGCCGTGCACTACTTGGAGGGTGATGCACACACGTGGTGGAAAGGAATCGTTGGAAGGCTAGTGAATGCGAATTGTTCATATGAGACATTCTCAGCGATGTTCAGGAGTAAGTACTTCCCACAGGAAGCTTACAACGAGTTGGAGAAGGCATTTCTCCACCTTAGTCAAGGGACGCTGATAGTGAGGCAGTATGAGACTCAGTTTAACCAACTGGGGAAGTATGTGTCTCATGAGTTTGACACGGAGGAGAAGCTGATATATAGGTTTATGAGTGGACTGCGGGTTGAGCTAAGGAACGGATGTGTGGTTCGTAACTTCAGAACAGTGACTGAGCTAGTTGAAAAGGCAGCATCACTGGAGTCAGGACAGGCGGAAGCTGCTTTGATGACAGCTAGGGCTGGGACAGCCGTGACCAAGGCAGGTCAGTCTAGTGGGCAGAACCGGAAGTTCAGGAAAGGAGTACCGAACAAAGAATCTGTGGGACGCAGCGTGTGCAGCAAGTGTGGCAAGACTCACGTGGACGAGTGTAGACACGGTGGTAGTGGATGCCACAGGTGCGGGAGCTTAGAGAATCGGGTACGAGACTGTCCGGAGGAGGATCTGCGAGTGGTTCGTGTGTCTGGCAGCGACAGTGTGGTTCGGGTGTGCTACGGTTGTGGATAACCGGGGCATTTCAAGCGTGAGTTTCCTACGGCAGGAGTGGTGGAGCAAGCCGTGGCTCAAGTGAACCGAGCAGGAGAGGCACTTGCATCACAGGCCAAGAGACAGGCCATTATGTCGAGGGTGTACACGACGAGTGCAGCAGCAGCTGACGAACCGAGCACTTCTCATCCGATTACTGGTACGTGTGGTATATAAAGTTTTGTCAATTGCTTTTGTGTGTTGTGTGTTAGTATAGAGTCTTAGCATTCTAGGGAATGAATGTGTAGGGACCTTGATAATGGGTGAGGTTGAGACCCATGTTCTGTTTGACTCGGGAGCGAGTCATTGTTTTATTAATCCGGATATAATCGAAAAGGGACAGTTCCAGAAGGAACCTAGAGAGGACTTTGGGTTAGTTCAGGCGGCTGGAGGCCAAGTGATGTTTTCACTAGGAACGGTTAAAAATGTTCCAGTGTGGTTTGGCGAAGTGAACATGCCAGCGGATCTAGTGATCTGTAGACTTAAGTCGTACGATGTCATTTTGGGGATGGACTGGTTAGGCAAGTACAGAGCCCATTTGGATTGTCACCGAGGAAGGGTGCGGTTTGAGAGAGACGGAGAGGTCTTGGTTTATCAGAGAGTGAGACCAACCTCGGGAAGTTTGGTGGTTTTAGCTATTCAGACAGAACGGCTGATAGAGAAGGGGTGTGAGGTGTATCTAGCAACGATCACTACCACAGAAGGACAACCGGATGTTGACTTGTGCTGTTTACCGGTGGTGCAAGAATTTAAGGATGTCTTTCAGGCGTTGGCTGGACTGCCACCAGCTCGTTCAGATCCGTTCACGATTGAACTTGAGCCGGAGACAGCTCCATTGTCCAAAGCACCATACCGGATGGCGCCAGCTGAGATGGCAGAACTAAAGAAGCAGCTAACGGAATTGCTGGACAAGGGATTCATAAGACCGAGCAGTTCGCCATGGGCTGCGCCAGTGTTGTTCGTGAAGAAGAAGGATGGAAGCTTCATGCTTTGCGTTAATTACCGCGGATTGAACCGCGTGACCATGAAGAACAAGCATCCACTTCCTAGGATAGACGGGTTGTTGGACCAACTCAGGGGAGCTACTTGGTTCTCTAAGATTGATTTGGCATCAGGGTACCATCAAATACCCATAGAGGAGACAGACATGCGTAAGACTGCCTTTCGGACAAGGTATGGTCATTAAGAGTTTGTGGTCATGCCGTTTGGTTTGACGAATGCGCCAGCTGCATTCATGAAGTTGATGAATGGCGTATTCAGGGAGTACCTAGATGAGTTTGTGATCATTTTCATAGATGATATTCTAGTATACTCAAAGGGTGAGGAAGAACATAGAAGTTATCTGCGGACTGTTCTGGAGAAGTTGCGAGAACAGAAGTTATAAGCCAGGCTCAATAAGTGTAGCTTTTGGCAACGGTATATAGTATTCTTGGGTCACACTGTTACGGATAAGGGAGTGTCCGTGGACTCAGAGAAAATCCAGGCCATAGCGGATTGGCCAAGGCCAGAGAATGCTATAGAGATAAGGAGTTTTCTGGGGCTAGCTGGTTATTACAGGCGGTTTGTTAAAGGCTTTACATGTATGGCTCAGCCAATGAAAAATCTGACTGGGAAAGACGTGGAGTATGTCTGGACGGATGAGTGTGAAGAGTGCTTCTCGAAGTTAAAGGAGCTACTCATTAATACACCAGTATTGGCATTACCAGAACCGGGTGAACCATACGTGGGATACACGGATGCATCACGGAAGGGACTAGGGTGTGTCCTGATGCAGGATGGTAATGTGATAGCTTATGCTTCACGACAACTACAGAAGCATGAAGGAAACCACCCTACGCATAATTTAGAAATGGCGGCTGCGGTATTTGCACTTAAGATATGGAGGTCTTACTTGTATGAGGAGAAGGTGCAGATATACACGGACCATAAAAGTTTAAAGTATACCTTTACTCAACCGTATTTGAACTTGAGACAGCGTAGATGGATGGAGTTGGTAGCGGACTATGATTTGGAGATAGCATACCATCCAGGAAAGGCCAACTTGGTGGCAGATACATTGAGCAGGAGGAGAGCTAGCATATCATCAGAACGGGACGTTGGAAGCATTGTTAACATGCTAAGGATATTGCGGGTTAATGCAATAACAGAAGGGGTCAAATCGTTGGGTTTGGAAGCTGCGGATAGTACTTGAGATTGCAAACGAGGCTATATCCAGCGTCACATTAAACTTGATCAGTTCAATACGTTTATCTTCACAATGCCCTATGTGTCGTCAATGTACTTCCTCACTGTATGAATCTTGTCCAGTCCATCTCTATTAGGTATGCCTCCAGCATCATCTCCAGATCCTTCACATCATCTCTAGATCTGGCTTGCTGGTTCTTGTGCCATTTCCTTGTTAAGTAAAAGCCTGCCATGTCTTCGTCCTCATCTAACATTTTTTCGATTTCGTCTTTTGCCTTTTGTACACGGGCTAGCAAGCGGGTGAGATTACCTTTTAAGCTTAGTAGGTATCCAAGATTGTCGGTGGTAACTTTCTTGGTTAGTTTAGCAATAAGATTCAAAGCTTCAGTCTTTACCGCTTCAAGATCTGTATCAAATAATGAGCAGACGACCTCGAGTGCACTTTCGAGGACCTGAAATTCAAAAGGCAGTTCATTGTTCAAGCCATCTTCATTTTGTGGAACAAGAGAAGACTGAACAATTTCTTGACCATTCCTATATGGAAATTGTTGCTTTAGTCGGTCAATGAATTGAAGAACTTGAGGACAGAGAGGTTCCAACAACAACACTTCCTCTGCGGTGGTCTAGTCCGACGCTTTTGAGAAAAATAGCCGAGGTGGTTTGGTTTTATCCGAGGAAAAATGGGAATAACCGGATAAAAGGAAAATAGTTGAAGGGAATAAGTTTAGCCGAGGAAGAGTGGACTGGGCCGTGGGCCTTAAGGTTTAGTTAGCTGAAAATCAGATTATCACGCGGATGGTCAAGCTGGTACGGGCTATAGCCGAGAGAAATTAAATCGGACCGAAATAAATCCTACTGGAACTAGGAACGTCGGCTGTGTGCGAGTTTCTTAGGGTTTTGCGAGTATACAAGGTGTTTTTGAGACTTTTCTCGGGAGAGCCGTATTATTTTAAAGAAGTAGACCGAGAGAGAGAGAATAGTCGAGAGAAAACCCTAAAGTTCTGATTATCTCGAGCGTTAGCCGAGAGAGATCAAACCACAACATTACTGATCCGGCTATCGCCGAGATAATCTGGTAAGTGATTGGATATTTCCATTAGCGCCGAGCTTCCGTCGCGTAACGTCGGATTAATCCAAGTGTTTTTTGGTGCTTCCGAGGGAATACATAGTTTAGCCCGAAGAAAATTAAACGGATCGAGAGATAGCCGAGTAGAGGGAGTTCCAGTCGTAGCGATAGCCGAGGAATCCCTAGGGTGTTTGACTATCTTCGTTTCTGAGGGAGTTTCACCAAGATTTCTCCCGACCAATCTGTTTCTAAGCGTGTCTAAGGTGAGTGCGTGACTGCGGCTAAATTGTATGATCGTAGGACTGCTAGGGTTTTATGTTTATCATGATTGGTTGCGTGAGTTTGTGTGTTTGATTGTTTGTGTGCTTAGCAAGGGTTAACGTGTTGCATGATATACGACTGTGAGGTGTTCTCCGTGGCTAAGTGTATGTCTAACTAACCTCAGGGTAATGATAACTTGCTATATCAGAGAATTTTAGGCTGCATTTCATGCATCTTTTCCAATGTTTTAGCATGTTAGATAAATATTTTAGTCTCATTTGCACTTAGAATAAATATTGCATGCATTTAGTTTAGGATTGCTTACATATGCATACATTTGCATGTTTGTGGTGTTTCTCAGGTGTTTTTGGAGGTTCTTGGAGTTTGGGGAGGAGATGGAAGCAGCTAATGTTCGAAGAGATGTCAAAGAAGGAGATTTTCCAAGTCTGGTCCCATATCAAGATGGTGCATCGAGCAAAACCTCCGAGGAGTATGCCTGATACAAGCCATAGCACGTGAGAAAGAAAATTAGCCTGTGGATCCTAAGGCACAGTCTACATTGAGGTGCTGCATCGAGCAAGGAATGACGGCACAAGCTGATACAAGCGGCACGGATAATATCGGGGTGGTGCATCGAGCAAAACACAGTCCGTACCACCCCGATACAAGTTATCCACGTATTTGACCGGATTTTATCGTTGACTTATCTTATTTTTAGGTTTTTTTCCTCTTTGGCTCCCTACTATAGAAGACAAGCCACCAAACTTTGTCATTATGTCATCTTGATTCCAAAACCTTATCTTATCTCTTACTTATCCAAAAAGGGCGATTTGCCCGATCTTGTAAAAACTTTTGTTTTCTTCTATCCAATTTGCATTTTTATGGTTTAGTCTTGTCTTCTGAACTTTGATTTAGCACCCTAGTAGTTTAGTTTTCATTATCTTGCATCTAATCTCATATAACCATGTTTAACTCTAATCAAATGGGATTAAACATCATTAGTGAGTAGTTTACCTTAGATTTAGGGTCTTAAGAAGGAAAAGTGGTGATTAAGATGTGATTAGGGGGTGATTAGGTTTGATTAGTTGTTCTCGGTTGTTTCCTTCTCTTGCAAAGTTATTATTGTTCATAAATCTTCTCCCTTTTGATTGAATATGGTTGTTGATGCATATGGTTCACTTGATGGTTTTAAGTCTTGGTCTTTGCATGATTCGCCTATTTTGCTTGATAGTCTTAGCTTGGTCTATGTTTTCTTTGTTCAGTGACACCAAAGTGATAGTTCACCTTGCTAGATGATTCGCTTAGGGCTAGATAGTGCATAATTTGAGATTCTTGCTTGATGGTTAGATAGTATGCATTATAAGAACATGCTTTTGCTTGAAGTTCTGTTCATTGCTAGACATTGTTAGGTTCAGAACTGTGAGCTTACTTTTATGTTCTTGATTGGTGATTAGCTACTTAGGTCCTTATATGGTTCAAAAGATTGATAGGATGATCTGAATTCTATCTTGAGTGAGAGATGTTTACATGACTAGTTCATCTTTTAGACTCTATGGTTCTGTTCTTTATGCTCACGATTAGAGAATACACCATCAAAAGTGGGTTTGACACTCTCGCATTGTTTAATTGGGTTTGCCTATTAACCACAAGGAAGATCATTCATTAGATACATTGTCTAGGATTACATCATTGATAATTGCTTGCTTGTTTGATGCTTGATGATTGCCTTTGCTAGAAATCCTCTTAGCCACTCTTGAGAGCCACTTGACCATTATTACTTAGAACCTTGAGTGTTGCTTTCCTTTAATTGTCTTAAATCTGTTTGCTTAGTTTCTTTTGCTTGCTTAATTTCAGTATTCATCTTTTTTAGTTTCATTCCTGGTTAGTCTTTGCTTTAGATTCACCTTTCTTAGTCTTTGTTTACTTGCATTTCAGTTCTGTTTTCCCTTTATTGCATTGCTAGGTTGTTAGAGTTACTTTTGCATAATCTAAACACCATATTGCTTAGCTTATGGCTTTGTTTGCACCTCACATCCACAAGTGTGCTTGACACCTGATCTCTATACTATAACTGATTAGAGAGATAGGATTATCTTGCTTACAAGGGCCTCAAAAACCCTTGTTTTAAATTGGCGCCATTGCCATTTGTGCATTCTTTGAGTTTGACATTGTTGTTAGACTAAGTTCTTTTCTTTTTCATTACTAATTAGCTCTGTTTTCATTGCTCTGTTTTTTCAGGTACTTGTATGAATTGGAGGTCCAAAGGCTCATCAAATATTCTTCCTTCTATTGACGACATCAATAGAAGAAGGGCTGTAAGACAGATAGTTCAGGAGTTAGAAGAGCAGAGAATGGCAGAGCAAGAAGCTCAGTTACCACACAATGGTGTTGTTGGACAAGCAACAATACCACCAGCTGCTGCACACATTGATGAGGTTCAGGAAGCTATGAACCAAGCGGCTGGAGTTCAGGGATTGAGATTACCAGTTCATGCACCAATAGTAAAAAGACCTATAGGAGCTGGTGATGCGTCTGATTCACACATCAACCACAGTGGTATTAATGGTCTAGCTGTGCATCCGAATCACTTTGAGATCAAGCATGGTCTGCCCAATGAGGATCCTATAGACCATTTGGATCAGTTTGACAACGTTTGTTGTATAACCAAGATTCAAAGCGTGTCTGAAGATGCTTTGAAGCTGCGCCTGTTCTCTTTCAGTTTAGGAGACAAGGAACATCGGTGGGAGAAGACACTTCCACAAGGATCAATCTCAACTTGGAATGTATGCAAGACAGCATTGCCCAAAAAGTTCTTCAGCTCAACAAGAACAGCAAAGATCAGGAATACAATTAGCATCTTTGCACAACATGGAAGTGACACATTTGCTGAAGCATGGGAGCTCTTTAAGTCATACACATTGCAGTGTCCACACCATGACTTCACCAATGAAAGTCTGCTGTCTACTTTGTACAGAGGCGTCACTCCTAAATACACATGCTCTTGGATACAGCTTCCAATGGGAACTTCATGAGAAATAATGTGGTTGATGGCCTTGCTTTATTTGAGAATCTAGCCTTATCAGATGGAAACTATGGTGAAGAGTATGATAGAACAACAAGAATTGTTTGCAGCGCTGAAACTGAGAGGTCCACTAAGAAGGAAATCAAAACTTTGAATGACAAGCTTGACAAGCTGTTGAGTGCATCATTCAAGAATGTAAGCTATGTGGGTGACGCTGATGCTACACAAGGAGAAGATGGGACAGTTATAGAAGAGAAGGCTTCTACATGAACCATCAAGGAGACAGGACAAGCCAAGAGGCTCTCACTGTTACATCGACCATTGTATCGAGCTGCTCTGACCGATGCATCAACTTCAGGACACCTGTACCAGCAAGCCGATACACAAGTCACTTGACACGTACCGAGCAGGGTATCAAGGAAAGCAATTCGGTATGCCTTAACTCAGGGCCATTGTATCGACCAATATACCGGTGAGATAAGCCGGTAAAGCTTAGCTTGAGGCGATTGTACTGATCAGTGTATTGATGTTGAGATTTTTATGCCTTAACTCATTCCTCAAACACACATTTCATTATAGTACTTGAGGTGTCGATTCAGTCCATAGGCTCATGAACAATCAAGATGAAGAAAACTTGCTAAGCTAGGCCTAATCAAAAGAAGGGAAATTTAATCTAACATCCTAAAACAATAAATGCAAACTAGAAAACAGAGATTCAAGATTAATGAATAACAAGGTGAATCTAAATCATAACCAAGGTGAAAGAAACAATCAATGCATTAATCTCTAGGCAATGACTAATGATATAGAATATCCCAATTCCTCAGTACTAATTCCTTATCAATTCACATATTCAAGACAAATTCCTTTACTCAAACACATGATCATTAAGTATGAAGGCCAAAGTCCATAGAAAAATCATGCTAGACATCTAGTTTCCTATGCTAGGTTTACTAATCTCTTATGAAATAGAACTAACATTACTCACACTCCCATGCATAATCAATGCCTAAAGGTCAATTTCCCATTAATGTGGTGCTAAGTACTTAAGCACAAGCTATGCAAAACATGACATCAACCATAACTTCTTTCAAGCATTTCAGCAAACACCCTAAGTGCAATACTAGAAAGCCTAGGATCTACTTATCCTACAAAGAGGTACTAAGCATGAAGAACATTCACA